TTTATTGATTGGGGGCTACCCCACCATAAATAAAATTTTTTAAACTTTGAACAAAGATATCTTAACAATCACCAGACAAAATTTGATGAAACTTTTTTATTTAAATTCTAAAATTCTTGGAATTCAAATAAAAAATTTTTATCGAATTTGATCAGGCGGTTGTCGAGATACTTTGCTCAAAGTTTAAAAAAATTTGGTGCAGCGATAAGTGTTTTGATTTTTATCTAACTTCGAGCAAAGGTATCTCGATAACCACCTGATCAAATTCGATAAAAAAATTTTTACTTGAATTCCGAGGATTTTAAAATTTAAATAAAAAATTTTCATCAAATTTTGTCAGGCGATTGTTAAGATATCTTTGTTTAAAGTTTAAAAAAAACTTCGATGTAGCTCTAATTTTTAATAGGCGTTTTGATTTCTCTCTAACTTTGAGCAAAGATAACTTGACAATCACTTGACCAAATTCGATTAACCGTTTTTTATTTGAATTCTATGGATTTACAGAATTCAAATAAAAAATTTTCATCGAATTTGGGTTGTCATTTGAGATATCTTCACTCAAAGTTACGAAACTCCTATCAAAATAAGAAGTTGTGCCAAATTTTTTAAAACTTTGAGCGAAGATATCTCAATATCCACCCGATCAAATTCGATGAAAATTTTTTATTTAAATTATATGAATCCATAGAATTCAAATAAAATATGTTTCATCGAATTTGGTCAAGTGTTTGTCAAGATATCATCACTCAAAGTTAGATAAAAATGCCTATCAAAAATAAGAGTTGCGCCAAATTATTTTAAACTTTGAACGAAGTTATCTCGACAACTACCTGATCAAATTCAATGAAACCTTTTTTATTTGAATTCTATAGATCCATATAGTTCAGATAAACGCTTTTTATCGGATTTGGACAAATATTTGTCGAGTTATCTTCACTCAAAGGTAGAGAAAAATCAAAGCACCTATTGCTGCACCAAATTTTTTAAACTTTGGGAAAGATATCTCGACAACCACCTGATCAAATTCGATAAAATTTTTTCATTTGAATTCTATGGATTTATATAATTAAAATAAAAATGTTTCATCAAATTTGGTCAGGTGATATCTTCGCTCAAAGTTTATTTTTATTGGGGATACGATTACCAGCCCTATTTATATTTAAAATTAATATTATTTAGATTCGGCTCAATCTGATTCTGTTCAATTTAAGCTTGATATTACTAATGATTAAAAGCTTTGGTGTGTATACATACAAATAATAATCAATTTTATAAATTGTAAACTAATAATTAAAATATATCTTTTAAATATAGTGTACAATTTTAAAATTTAAAATCATATAACTTGTTTTATTTAAAATCTATTTGTATTAATTTTTATTTTTATATAACTGCTATAATTAAAAAAAATTATTAAATATTTAAAGTTTAAATATTAGTTATAGTATTTTTAACTATATATTTTAAATAAAAAATTTTAGTATTGAAAAATTACCAGATTTGAAAATATTATAAACTATTAGATTTATATTGGGAAATGAACTTGGTAGACCAATTTTTTATTAGATTTGACGGGTCATCGATTTTGAAAAAGTTATAATAATATATTTAGGGTGTTCTCAAGCAACTTCCTCAATGTGATTTAATAGTGATTGAGATGTTGCTCAATTATTACAATTTATCGTAATAATTATTGCAATCATTGCTTGAACAAACCATCCTTGCTTTACTCTATTGTCGCTATGTCTTCAGAAAATCAAACAAAAAAAAAAAGTGACTATTTAACAAAAAATGTAACTCCTTGGCAACACCTCAACAAACGATGTAACTTCAGCAACTCTAAGTGCCAAATTTTCCTTTTACAGACTTTATGAGTATTCATATGTTTACATCAACAATATTCACAGCTTTTTGTTCCTTTAACTAACCAACGCTGAAAATAATGAAGGATTTTTGAATATTAATTATTTTTGATGTAAAAAGTTAGGGAATAACAATTGCTAGCAAGATTTTGCTCTTAGAATTTTCTGGAATTTTTATTAACAATAAGTGTTTCGAATATAAAAAGCAACGCAATAATTTTTTGACGATAATTTAGCTAAAAATCCATGACGTAAAGCAAAGTACTTAGACAACCTCTTTTTTTACTTTATCAATTAATAGTTTTGGCCAATCAGCGTTAACTCTATGAAAAAAAGATGGTCACGTATAACATAGTACAGATGAATATCGCGTGACTTTTGAGATTGGAATGTTTTGTAGTTACTGTCCGTTATACCGGGTTGGTGAAAAGTAACTGAACAGTGACCTTTTTTTAATCACTATGATCATCATTTTAACGTTTAGTAATCATTAAAATTATTACAATTTTTAATTTTATTACAATTGATTACTAAACGTTAAAATGATAATCATAGTGATTAAAAAAAGGTCACTGTCAGTTACTTTTCACCAACCCGGTATAATGCAAAATCTGATACGTGGACAATTATGGTACATAATTAGTGAAAATAATTTTCGTTATTTCTTACAGCTAGAATCTAAATCTGTTATTTCAATAGAATATACCTGACCCAACTCCTCCGCACGCCAATTCTTTTCAGCAGCGTTAAGTATGTTATTTAACAAGATTAGTAAATGTTTGGTCAGAAAGTTTCTCAATAAATGAAAATATCTTTTTTTCATCACTTAAATTAAAAGTTCCTATGGACATATTATAATTTTCGGTGGTTATAATGATATTGAAGATTTGGGTGACCTGTGGATCTTAGATATTACAATGCTTCAGCGGTCAATTGGAATCATTTTAAATCCAATTGCGGATTTATCTATTTTTTGGGCATACAGTAGACAATTATATGTTTGTTGCTTTTGGTAAAAGTTTTAATTATTTTTATGATGTTACTTATAAATTATTTAAACTTGCTAACCTTTTATTTGTTTCGTTATATTTCATCAATAATATTTATTTTGGACGTAAGCCTGTAAGATTCCTATAAATGGGTCACTGAATTTGCCCGAAATACTAAAACTATTACAACTACTACAGCTACTACAATTATGCTGATTTCAAGTAATTCGATTTCAAAAGTTCAAATTCTAAAAACACTAGCTCAATTATTGGTGTCATCATTGGCAGTATCATTTCTTTAGTAATATTAGGTATTGCAAGTGTTTGTGTTCCGCGTCGTTTTTCGATTTATGTTGTTTTGAAATTGACACATATCATTTGTAAATTTAAAAATAACATATGTAATTTTACAATCAGTATAATTGCAAAATATAAAAATTTAAATCCGCACATTATTTTATTACATAAATTTCAAGCAAAAGAATGAAAAAAAAAACAAATAGAAAAGAAAAATTAACAATTTATGACATTGATTTCGTAACATACTCCATTATTTTTTCAACTGCAGGCTTTCAACAATGGCAGCAGTTTTTTTTGATTTGTTCTACTTGAACTGGTTGCTTCTTGATGAAAAAATTATTCATTTCATCGTTAGGTCTTTGATTATCACTACAATTTTTAAAAAAAAAAATTTTAGTGGTAAAATAAAATTTATTTTTTTAAAAACACTTACTCAGTTGGTTCAGAGTTTTTGTTATTGATTTGGCTTGTGGATTGTACCAAGTTTTACTTAAATCCAGCTTGGCATAATGTAGTTCAAGGGACCCACCAGTTATCAAGAATTCTAAACTTGCATGCAACTAGAGATGGGTTTCATGTGTGCGCATGATTCCTCAATCGTGCACATTAATGCGCATTCATGCGCATGATTCGGAAACATGCGCATTTTATCCCATCTAAATTTTATATAGGAAAATTAAAGTATATTTAATTTAGGCCAAGGTATATAACGCCAGGCAAAATTAAGAAATAGAAATGCAAAAGTTTTGAAAAATTCCGAAAAGAAAATTAATGAACATAAAGACGAGAAGGGTTGGGAAAAATTTTGGCAAATATCCGACATTTTCCGGAGGGAAAATATATTGGTTTGTCTCTCATTCTTGGTGACTTGCTATAGAAATACATTTGGGTGTTCCCTTCTGCCAATCGAGCAACTTACGCAAATTTTATAGTATCGCTCTCATATATATTTTTTCTCTTGACTGTCGTCCCGACAGGTCATAGAATGCAATAGAAATTTGTAAAAATGACCGTCATCCCAACAGGTCATAGAATCATAGAATGCATTAGAATTTATACAAATGACTGTCATTCCGACAGGCCATTCTGGAAAAAACTAACTGGGTAGGGAGGGAGAGTCGATGTAACCAGAACAAATGTCAGGTTCGCAGAAGAAACAAAGCTATTTCTCCCACATACCACATCAATTACTAATATACTTACACACTAACCAATTATCTCATACTTACTCAACTAATTATTCAAACTTTCTCATTACCTCATCTCACATAAGGATTACTTCATACTTACCTAACATCACTGATCGATCAATTGATCGATCATTAAACCGAATGTGTTCAGGAATATCACATGTTGGTCTCGTGATGATTCGAGACAAAAGCTGCCTCGATACTTATGTATCAAGCAGCTTTAAATCAAAAAAAATTATATCGTGCGATATCATGCGCATTTTATATAATGTGCACATTAATGCACATTCATGTACATGTTATTATAAAATGCACATTTTTTCTATCTCTACATGCAACCTGATAACAATCACAGTCAGGCTTTTTTTGGAGAATTTTGAAAGGTAATGATCTTTGTTTTATCTTTAGCATCTTATTTCGAATATATTCATAATTTCTTTTAACATTTAGAATTGCTTATCTAATGATAATCCGTTGCTAAAAAAAATTTTTAAAGAGATTTAAAAATTTTCTTGCATTAATAATTTGATTAATATTAATAAACAATTAATACACTTCATTAGATCTATTTTCTTCAAGTTCAATAGAATGTGCTCACCATTTTTTTTTCTTGCATCATATAATGTTAACCGGAATCAGAACCAAAAGCATGAATTTCAATGAATGAAAGTATAACCCAATACCTAAAACTTGGATTATGTAGTAGGTTGGGATTTTTCAATACATTTAAACACTCATTATAACGATTTTCATCCACTAAGCAATGTTTGTTTTTCTTTGATTAATAAACATATTAGCTGATTTGCAAAATTGGGCCTTAAAATATACCCTAAATAAATTTATAATATTATTATTTGATTGGTTGATTACAAAAAAACAACCCCAAAATTATTATACTAAAAATAACCTTTTGTTTATTACTATACTGTATTATTACTATACAGTATTATTACTATACTATATTATTACTATACATATTATATTTATTATATTGTATTACAATATAGCTGTTATGGATATGTCTAAAATTTTATATTACCTTTGTTCTTTTAAAAATGAACGTGGCCTTTTACTTTACCAAGCTTGAATACATTTTTCAACAAACAATAATAGTAATCATGTTTTTTGTTTATTATACTCACAAAAATCTTTTAAAAACAAATGAGAACTTATTTGTTATGAATAAGTAGTACATTATTCTTACAATCTTTCATGAACTGGTGTTGCTATATTATCACAAGATGTTATAGCTGAATTTAAAGAAATTTTATAATATTCAAAAAAAAGCATCAAATAACAGTAATTCTGCTAGATCACAAAGTGTTACTATTCCATATATGAAAAATCAATTCATTGGTATTTTTGGTATACGTATTTATTTGCTTAGCAAAGTTACAAATATTTTTTTAGTAGACAAGATGCATATAATATTTTGAGTCAAATTTTAAATAATAAAAATTGGGAAGTTAAACATTATTCACAAGGACAACAAATTGCTGTAATATTAGTTACTTCACAAGCTATTAGCATAGATAAGTTAGAGTCTAATAGCTCTGCTAAAAATTATAAAAAAGATAATCAAAAACAGTATTATAAAAAATTACTAAATTTAAATTGGCAATTCAATGGATATGTTGACAAATTGAAGATGTGAATAGTCATATTAGCTAAGTAGGATTTTTAACAATGTGATTTACTACAGATACTAGATACTTTTAATAGTAAGATAAATTCAAAGATATAACTTGTATATAATAGTTTGTATAAAGTAAATTTTTTATTTTATTATTAGAAAAAGTGATTGTTATAATTTTAATAAAAAGCAAGTTTATTGTATTCAATAGATTATAAATAAATAAAGTTATAAGACAGTACTAGAATAATATATTTTAATAATTACTTAGTACAATATTAGTATTTTAATTGTTTTTCAATTTATTTATTTTAGAATTTTTATAGTTATTGCTATTTTTTATAAGTGCTTGTTTCTTTATTAATAATTAACTAAATTTTTATATTTTAATAAGCATTAGTTATAGGAGAATAAAAAATAGTCAATACATGATATACTTAAAAAGTAGAAAAATTGTTAAAAACAAAAGCATTTAGATCAAGTATATTGTTTGTATAATATGATTCAATGGCATTGTTTAAACCAAGTAAACTAGTTTAAGTTTGGTCACACAGTTATAAATTATCATTCATAAGTTGAAAAGAAAGAAGAAAATGAAGAAATCATTTAAAGAACATTTAAGAGCTTTAAAAATGCCTTATTTGAAGCTTATTAATTGTGACAGATTAAAATGAAATTTTAATATTTTTTAGGAATGATTTAAAAAAGTTTGGGAACATTTTTAAGGTTAGGGTTAGGGTTAGGATTTAGTAGTAGGTTTATTAAAAAAGAGTATAAGTGGGTTTTATAAACCTTAAAGGGGAGCATGAGAGGTTCTCCATTTCATTTTAATCTGATTTCATTTTAATCTGTGCCATTAATTAAGTTGAGAATACAAAAATGAAACTGGTAACCTTTCTTCTTATCTTTAAAGCTTATAAACCCCACTTATACTCTTTTATTAATAAAACTAACTCTAAACCCTAACCCTAAAAGAATTATGCATTGGTTAAACAAACAGATCCATGCCTAGATTCTTTAACCCAAACTGTTGTTGCTTAAAATATGGTTATTAGGGTGTGGCGACTTAGTGAAGTGGTCTAGTTGTCACCCCGCCAAGTAGCAGGTTGAGAGTTCGAATCCTACAAACG